GGGGCCCGCTGGCTTGGCGCTCTCCCCTGCTCCCACTCTCCTCCATAAACCTCCTTCAGAAGGAGACTGGCTCTGCCTGGTTTTGGCAGTGCCGCTGGCTGCCTGTCCATGGCTGGGTAGATGGTGTCCACCCTTGCCTGACAAGCAAAGCTGTAATTTGCCAAAGAAGCTTCCTTTGACTTCAGCCCCTCAGCCTCGTCTGGCTGGTACAGACATTTTGGGAACTGGAATGCTAAGGATATGGTTCTAATTTTGGCTTATCATGAAAAACCCTGGCACTTATATATTGAACCATATGTAAACAAGCAGTTCAGTCAAATTAATGCTTAGGATGTTTTTAAAGTACTTTTTATTAGTATTTAGTTTTAGTATTTATTAGTATTTGTGCTGGCAACTGACCCCAGTTCAGCAAATAGTTGAAGTACGTGCTGGTACCTAAGCATGTATGAAGTGCTTTAAGGAAGCAAAGTCATTAATAGCATCTTCTTCTTTTCTGCCATGTTTGGCATGAAACTCTGCTCTAGTTCCTCCAAGCAAATGGAAAGATCACTGAGCCCATCTTTGGTCACCGTGTCTATAAAAGAAGACAAATCAAATATGGTTTGAAGTCTGTAAGGCTTTCCTGCCAAAAGGCCAGGAGGCCTCCTGACTTGTACTTCCAGAATTTTCACTTCTTCTGTAATTTGCCAAAGATTAAATATTCCTCCCTTCCCCACCATGATCCAGCTGTAGAACTATGAGATTCCCGCTCCTACCAGACACACGCATACCAGGACCATGAGCATATTAACTTGACTTCTCTGGCAGATGTGCCCATTGCATGTTACTTCAATGTGGCTGACACCTTTTCTGTGGTGCTGCGCATTACACTGGAAGAATCAAGTTAATATTCATAGAACTACTTAATCTGGGAGACTAAATTGTAGAAGCCAGATGTCCTCTTGCACATGAAACTCCAGCCATCTGTTGTATGGTTGCTTTAAGATGGTGGAAAATCCATGAGCTGAGGTTTAAGTTGCAGAGCTGGCATTTCCTCCTTCCCACGCCTGGCTGGATTTATTGCCTTTCTTTCTTCCTCTCCCCTCAGAGAAGCAGGCAGGAGCTTTGACCTGCTTGGACAACTGCTTTATTGCTTCTCTCTTGGATTTCCATCCTCTCAGAAGAGGTCTTTGACCATTTCTGAAATTTTAAGGAGTTTTATGTTCTGTGCAGCAATTTCCCCCATATTCTGCCTCTGCTTTCCAGCTGCAAACTGGAGACAGCAAAGCTAACCTATATAAACTGCTTTGAGATTGATGCTGATGTGTGCTACCTGAGAGCTAGCCATCATAATTTTGATTTTCAGTGTCATATATGACTTACCTGTAGAAGAAAGAACATCACTTGTTTTCTGAAATAGTATATGATCATTCTTCAGTAACATAATGTTGAGTGAGAACTGAACTATCTCAATGTGTTTTATTAGTTACTGAAAATTATCCCAACTTACTGATCTTTATTTTCTTGTCCTTCAAATCTTTCCTTAGCAATTGGAACTGTGTCAGAGATTATATAAACTGCATTTCCAGCTGCTGTTGCTTTTTCAGTCCTACTGTAAACTTATCGGACAAGTGCATGAAGTCAGTTCCATGCCAGAGGTATGTAACAAGCTACAAAGCCTTACACTGAAAATACCACTTTGCTTTCGTGTTCTTATATTTCTTTCTATGGACTTACACCAGAGTACACTATTTCACCCTGGATATAAGTCTGCAGACAAAACCCTTCAATGCATCTGCATTAAAATACAGTCAAGGTGCTGTATTTTTTGTAATTGACTGTATTTTCAGAGGCTGGGATCTTTTGTACATTCAGTCTTCAAAAGTAATTTCAATGAACTAGAATGATAGATGAAATCTTAGCTTCACTCACACACTTTATATGTAGGGAGGGCTCACACTGTGTGAATATCTGCAAGCCATTTATTTTTATGTTAATTGGGGCCTTAATTTGCAGGGAAAATGAGCTGCCTTCACACGTACAGAAAATATCCTTTTCCTAGATCATGACTGATTTTATCTGAACTTTGTGGAGACACTTAGACCAGGAGCACTTGTTAGCATGACAGTAACTAAACAGTTTGGTAAATTAATCTTAATATGGATGCAAAATTAAGGTTTTTGCTGAAATAATGCATTGTAATTTCCAGCCATATAAACTGTCTCCATTGCATGTGCATTATACTAGAAATGTCTGCAGTGTTTTTTGACAAACAGCTGATAAATGGTTTTCTCTCATACCTGAGCAAGCAAAGGTGTGTAGTGTAGAACTACTTTATGTTTTGACTGCAAGTGTACTGCCTGATCTTGTTCTCCGGATAAACAAATCAAAATCAGTTTAATGTTTCCAAAGAGTATTAAATCTATTTTTAAAATATAATTAACTAAATACCTTAATGTTGTAAATCTTTTTAATTCTGTGAATTTTACAAGCTTTCTTCTTTAAATATTTTTGACCCAGCACACTATCACTTTTGACCCAAATAGCTTTCTGGTTTTAGATAAATCTATGTATCTTACTTTAAAAAACACTTCACAAGAACAACACTGTTACTCAAGTTTATTTTCAGCAATTGCATAAAATATGTAATACTTTGAAATATCTTTGAGATGATCATCATTTAAGGAAAGATAGTAAAATAACTTGCCATTCCATACCTGATAAGGTGTTAAATTATAATAAACTATTGAGGGGTAGAAGTTACTGTACTTTGCTTGTAGCTGTAAAACAAAATTTGAAGCTCTAAAATGTATTTTATTACAGATTCTAGTAGCTTACAGATTCTTTATAAATGGAAATGGTTTGTTTTATCAGATGTGCTGTAGCAGTGCAAGGAGTTTGAATACTTACTGTAGCTTAAGGAACGCTTCTGAAGGCTGGCTCATAATGTGACTGGGCTGTTCACTTTTAAGAGGAGATAGGACAGTAGGCATCTAGTCTTAGAGCAGTCTAAATTTAGAAGTATTTTGTGTTCCTTCTAAGAGGATTGATTTCTGTAACTGTATTTCACAGTTAGGATTTTGTTAGGTAGTTATAAATAATGCAGCCTATCGAACTGGGGAACAATAATATGAGGAATAGCTGTTTAACCATGAAACTCATATTTTGCTGTTATATAAGTTTGTTTATTATTATATATAATAAATAAGCTATTATTTAAAGGAAATTCCATTGTTAGTTCATGTGAGAGTGGTTATTTTTAGCATGTTTGAGCATGAAAAGGTAGATCTTTAGAAATCAGCTGTTCACTTATGAATATTTATGAGTCTTGTGCCATATTAACTTTTTGGTCTGACAAAGGGTTATACAATTCCTGTCCAGCTGTTAATCTTATAAGATTCTGTATGTGTTTTGTAAATAAATAACACATCATTGCTAGGAGAAGTATACGTTTTCTTAAACTTTTCCACTATAACATGAAAGAAGTAGCAGGGGTGAAAAAATAAAAGATTGTGTAGGTGTGCTCTTGCATTTTAGCAAGCCAAAAATACAGCATAGGGTTAAAGGAAGCACAAAGCTTAGAAATCTGTAGTTAGTGTCTTCCCTGTATTGTACAGAGCACAGAGATCAAGAAATGTCCTTGTCTTAAAATGGGGTCTTTTCCATAATGTGTACATCCGATGTAGTAGTAAGAACAGACTTGAAATAGCTACTCCGTTTGGTGCCTACGGAGAATGAAAACACCCATCTCATCTTTCTCCTTGGAACAGCTCTTAAATATGTCAAGAGAACTGAGTGAGTTGAAGAAAAATCTTAAGGATGCTACTGCTGCAATCGCAGCCGAGCCTCTGACAACAGAATCTGAGCCCACATTCAATTCTACGGAAGCAGCTATTCAGTCCATGCTGGAGTGTTTGAAAAACAATGAACTTGTTAAAGCCATCCGACAAATACGAGAATGCAGGCAAGTTTTGCTACACGGCTCATATTAGACTTTCATGTTAACAGAAGAGCATGCATTTATTAGCTGCCTAACTTTATACTACATGTAACGTGCTGAGTCAGCATAATTAATTTACTATGTTTATACAAGATACATGGGGCCATTAGTATTAACTTTTGCAGGGGTGTGCCACAAGTAACAATATCAAATCAGTAATACAAACATGTATGGTTGCAACAATGAAGATGTTTAATCACATTACATAGATCAAAATACTTCTGTGGGGCTCTTAAGAATTTTTTTACAGAGCTAATTCCTTACAGGTGTTTGTCACTGGCATCAGCTAACATTCAGCCCAGTTTCACTTATTTGAGTGAGTTTTCTTAAGCTTTTTTTTTTTTTTAGATAATAGGAATTGCGCTTTTATGTGATTTCTGTGCCTGATAGCAGAGTCTGAGTAACAAATGAGTAGCGTAAAACAGTGAGTTGCTTTTGGCTTATAAGTGTGTGCGAGTCAGTTCTCCTTTGAGAGATCTCTATCAGGTAGTTTCTTCTGTGCTAATAAACCCATAATGATACGCACATTCTTTTCCTGTTTGATTGCAGGATTTTGTGGCCCAATGATATCTTTGGAAGTAGCTCTGATGATGAAGTCCAGACACTACTGAACATTTACTTCCGGCACCAAACCTTGGGTCAGACGGGCACCTATGCACTGGTGGGCTCCAACCAGAGCCTGACTGAAATCTGTACCAAATTAATGGAACTGAATATAGAGATCCGCGACATGATTCGCAGAGCTCAGAGTTACCGGGTCATCAATACTTTTCTTCCAGACTCCAGCATTTCCGGCACAAGTCTCTGACAGGACTCTTGTGTCCTCTTGCAAGCTGGGAGTGCTGCCCTGTTGGAGTGAGGTGGCTCAATGTCTTCTCAGCCTTACAAAGGTTTGGTCAAACTGTACTCACTCTTGTTACATTTAGGATTTCTTCTAAAAAGATATGGGCTGAACTTCAAATGTGTAGCAATACTGTAAGGACAAAGGTAGCATAGAGCATCCGGGACAACATCCTTTGTTCTCTGTTGCACAAAAACCAGTTAGCATTTCACTGAGCAACTGCAACTCACTACTGAAGAAGTGACTGCCATTGCATACCAAAGCCTACTACACTGAACAATACTTCCTTTATTTTAGGTTGGCAAAAGTGCAATGTTTCCTTCACAAAATAATATTTTTTGTTAAAAAAAAACAAAACTTGTACATTTTTTCCTTTTTGCTCTTCCTTGGGTGAGTGAAAGATGGGCAGAATGAAGCTGGCCACAGAATCTCGCAAACTTGTTGGTCAAAAGCTGAGAGCCTGTATATGTGAAACAAATTGTAAATGGACTACAGTTTAATGTACACTGTAATTTGAATATGATTACTGTATCTTAAAACAACGAGCTGCTATGAAGTACATTTCCTAATGTTACTAGGCTACTGTCTCTGAAGGTACTGGATCATATTGCAGAGGTCTGTTCTTAGGCCCCCAAGCGTCATGAATGGTCTTGTTAGATTTTCTTTTTTTTTTAAAGGACCTTGGCTGCTTTTTACTAGAGGGTTGCTTTTATGAATATATTTATACTATTAAAGGATGGTTGATCTAATTTAACTTGCCATTTTGTAGGAGAAAGTCCCATCACAGAGTCAAATCTTTTGAACTGTTATGCATGCATATTTTTATTTAATATAAATTTTGAGTATAAAAAGTAAAAATATTAACGTGAAACTCAAGTTCTCATGATAAGTTTCTTTAAAGAGATGTCTTATTTTATTTGTAATGTATATATAAAAGTCATACCTGTATGGTTTTTTCTTACATTTAACTGCTGTCCAGTGTTAAATGTATGCATGTAAATCTGTTGCACATCTGAGACTTTTATTCAGACAACTATGTAACTTATTCACTCTGTAAATACACTTACCGTTTTTGTGAAGTAACTTTGGTTGATATTTGGATCAGTACATCCATTTAACTAAAATATAAAAGTCATATATAATCACAACAGAGTATGTGCTTGTTGCAAAGATTGCGTTCTTGTCTGAATCTGTACTGTTGAGGATGGTATCCATGATCAGCAGCCCCCAGAAGACACCTTTTTCATCATTTATGGTGTTCATTACACTGAAAGAAACCAGTGAGAAATGTTAGGATTTTTTTGTCAGTCTGTAGTTACAACTCAACCAGGAAAAGTACGCTGCGTAAAGCAGTTTCATAATTGAAAAAAAAAAAAAAACAAAAACAAAATGGAGCTGAGGGTTTGTTTCTGGTAAAAACATCAGTAATGGTCCTATTTGTTCCAGCATTGGGTTTCAGTGGGGTTTTTTCTCATGCTAAAGGTAGAAGAAAAGCTGTCCAGCCTGCTGTATCAGGCTCTGAAAGTCCAGTAAAGCCCTCTCCCCTTTACCACTTTTTCATTTTCAAAATGCTTGCACAATTTTACGTGCATCTTGAAAAACACTTATATTGATGCAGAAAAGGGGTGGAATTGACTACTTTTACAGATTTTCTGATTTTGCAGTCCACAGAGCTCTGCAGCATAGTTGTAGTTGCAGAACAAAATAGATGCACGGCAAATCATTTCCAAAAACAGTGCCACTCATCACACAGCTATTTTTCTGAGTAAAATAATCCAAAATGGTTAGAGAAGTCTTCAAATTTCAGTCACATATTCCCCTTTTGAAAGCTATTCAGAACTGTAATTGGGGTGGTCTACAAAAATATTTAGTGGTTGGTGAAAGATGAGATCTGCTCTGTTACTTGGCAAAATCATGGATATTATGCAGATCACAGAATCACAGGAAAATTCAGGTTGGAAGGGACCTGAGGAGGTCATCTGGTCATCTAGTCCAACCTCCATTTTGAAGCAAGGTCAGCCACAAGATCAGATTGGGTTACTCGGGCTTTTATCCAGTCAGGTCTTGAAAACATCCAAGGATGGAGAGTTCACAACCTCCCTGGACAACCTGTTCTACTTGACTGTCCTCATGGTGGAAAAGCTTTTCCTTTATCCAGTCTGAACCTATCTTGTTTATCTTATGCACGTTCTCTCTCATCCCCCCACCATGAGCCACATCGAAGGGCCTGGCTCCATCTTTCTTCAGTAACCATAACCTGGCAGGCTACTGTTGGGTGCCCCTGAAGTCTTTGCTTCTTCAGACTGAATAAGCCCAGTTCTTTCAATGTCTCCTCAACATAAGTGCACCAGCCCTATAACCAGCTTGGTGGCCTCTACTGAACTCCTCGCAGTTGATCAACATCTTTCTCCTATAGAGAGCCCAAAACTGGATACCGTAATCTAGATGTGGTCTAGTGAGTGCCGAGTAAAAGGGGACAATCGCTTCCCCTGCTCCGCTGGCTCTGCTTCTGTTTGTACAGCCCAGGATGTTGTTGCTGCCAGGGCCCGCTGCCAGCCAAACCCCAAGGGCACTTTCCAATGAGCTGTCCCCCCGCCAGGCAGTCCCCTGTCTGCGTTACTGCAAAGGGTTCTCCCCATCTGCGGTAAGAATTTCCTCTGGTCCCTGCTGAATATCACAAGGCTCCTGTTGGCACATCCCTCCTGTCAGCTGAGATCCCTCCAAATGGCTGCTCTGCCCTCAGCTGCATTGGCCAGTCCCCCCAGTTTGGCATCACCTGCAAACTTGACAAGTACACCCTGTTGCCTCTTCCAGGTCACTGGTAAATTGTGTTGAACAGAGCAGGTCCCAGGATAGACCACCTGCTGTACACCACTTGTCACTGTACAATCCATTAACCACTACCTTGAGCAACTTGATTCAATTGGTCCTCCACTGAGCATGAAGACCTCCCGAAGTTCTTTCCACCCTAAAGTATTTATGATTCTTCACAGATACAACAAAACCCATGACAACCATCTAGCTTTCTTTGCATCATTTCTGAACTTCAGGTAGAGTAGAATCAGTATATTCCAAAACACCACCTCACTGAAGTCCTAGGACAACATAAAACTCTAGCAGTGCCCCACCATGCTTCTACACCACCAGTGCTTTAATTAGGACTCCCTCAACTGCATTTTTGTCTCCACAAAAGCACATTCAGTTACACTTAAGCCACCTGCCCTGGAGATACCTTACATAACCAGGAAGCTGGTATTTGAACAGGGGGCACAGGGACCTGTTCTACCTCTTCTGGGCCATGTTAAGTCTAGATAATTTGTTACACTCTTGTCACAGATACCCCAGTTCAAAATGTTTTTCACCCTCAGTGGAAAACATATGAAGCTTACACATTTCCCCTCATATCTTACAGACATAGTCTTCCAGCATATAGTTTTAGATTCTCAAACTGCTGTGGTGGGTTTTTTTTTTTTTAACTATACATTTGACAGAGGCAGTGGAAAGAGACACTTGCAGATGCATTTAACCCCAAACTATATGCAAATACTCCAGAACATTTGCATCTTCTATACTAGTTCAGTTTGAGTGACTGAAGGAAGAACTTCCTATCACAGTTTTAATCTTAGTATTCCCTAAAGGCAGACTAAAACCAAAACCTATTTTCTTTAGGAAGTCAAATAGGTTCTGTTTCCTTCCAGATACACTTTCTACTTTCATCCCAGCAAGATAAAACTAAAGGGTAACAAACTAGTGCAAATTTTATTCACAGCATATAATACAATGAAGTTACATACTTTACAAATAATACAAAAGTCTTTATCCATTATCCAACGCCAGGTCAAAAGCCTAAAGTCAAAACATTGCAAGAGACTGACAAAGTGCAAAGTGCAAAACAGAAGAGGGCACTGGGATCAGACAATGTATTTGAAGCTGTAAGTGTTATCACAGGACAGCCTCTTGCCTTTGCAGCGGCCACAAAGTTCTTGGCGATGAGGTCTCTTAAGATCGATGTGTCTTTTCTTCTGAGGGCAGGAACAACGAGTCTTTGAGCAGATCTTAAGAAAGACGACATTTTATTAGTAGTAGATCAAAGGTGCTCACTTCATGTTAGACTGACGTTTAGTTTTCCTTGATCATAGCAACACATTTGGGCTAATAACACTTAAAGCTCTTGTGACAAACACCCTGTGGAGTTAAGCTATAAGAGCCTTCTCAGCTAGAAGCACAAAACCCTACCCTATGTGTAGCTAGGCATAACATTGTATGGACAGAAAACCATTCATGTAAGCTGTCTGCAGGAGGAAGGAATCTTATCCCATTACACCCTTCCCAAATAACATTTCCTAGTACTTTGATGAAAGCAAGTTCTCTTCCAGATAAAGACAGTGTCTAAGTCAGCAACTGCAAACTATTAGGGTATATGAGAAACTCTGGCAGCCTTACCAGGATACAGAAATCTGCAACCTACCTGGCACTGGATTGCTTCCACTCGATAGGGATTGAAGCCCTTTTGGCACTTGCGACAGAGCTGCTTGAAATACACCTGAAAAAAGCAAGTTCTCAGTTACTATAGAGACTTACTCAGGGTGTTCAGTACAGGTACCTAAATTTGTGCCAAAACAACTGATTTGTCACAGATTTGGTGCCATTCTTACAAGTCTCAGGAGCAAGAAGTGACTGTGAACTACCTTGTTGCTTCCAGAAATGCACCACACATAAGCACTCTCCCATCTGGTCTTGCAGTCTTTACAGTGGAAATAGCCATACTTCTGCTCCAAAAACTGCAGAGAGAGAGTTCACTGAGCAGCCTCCAGCACCACAAGAACACCCAGCCCAGCTCCCTCACTACACCACCCGTTTTTACAGGCAGGAGGCTCCACTGCTGCAAGGGAGACAGCCTTGCAGAGGCTGGGGAGAGAGAATGCCTGGGGATTACCAACCCGGGGGAAGGGGCGTGCAGACCCGAGTGGGAAGCCAGAGTGGGGACCACTGCGTCTTTCGCTGCTCGAGAGCACATTTCTCCCCAGCCTGCTTCGCCCCCCACCCCTCTTGCGCAGA